TTCTCCTGCACGTCGAGCCGGAGCCCCGGTTACCCGTTAGGTTCTCCGCGACAGTGATTTAGGCTTGGAGTACCTATGTCACGAAGTTTCATTATATGTTGTTCAATAATGAAGTGACTGTCGACTGTGATCAAAAACAAAAATAATAAAATGAAAAATTTATTACAAAAGAAAAATGTATCGTACGCGCCTATAATATATACATAACATAACATCACGCCTTTTATCCCCGAAGGGGTTTTTTTTGAGGGAGGAAAATCATCGAATGACTTTTTCCGGCTGGGTGAGGCGAAAGGGAGTGTGAGTGTCAGACTCTTACTGACTAAAAACCACCCCGTTCCTACTCCTGCACTTCGAGCTGGAGCCCCGGTTACCCGTTAGGTTCTCCGCGGCTCCGAATATCCCCGAAGGTGTAGGCAGATGTGCACATTACGCCACTAAATGCCACTGTACAATATAACACCCAATTTTCACTATTTATGTTATAAGTCCCATATAATAGGGGGTGAGCTTATTGCCATATACCGGGCACAAATCCAGACTCCGTGCTACTACTAAGATCTTTTTAAAAAACCCAGTAATCCTTTGCCCGACCCGGGAATCGAACCCCTTGCCGCACTTGCGATCACTCGGCCAATGAGGCAGTACCTCTAATATATCTGTATACATAATATATGAAATGTGTATGTATAGATATAGTCTTATAGTCCACTACTCCGCCGCCGCCGCCCACATACCATCTAATTGAACGATATGTTGAAATACCTAATGAATATATCGTTACTCTAAGAGCCGGGCGTTTGACATCAGTTTTGCATTAAGTTTGTATTAGCTAAATAGTCACGTTCACTTACTCGATGCACTATTAACTCTGCAATCAAGTTTAACTGCCTACCCACTTAGAGGTTAAGCGCGGTTAGGTATATCAAAGTGCTTAGTCACAATCGATAGATATATTTCGAGGGGTAACGGACTATTTGGTTTAAGCGACATTTTGGGCGATTTTGAGTTATTACATATATTCGACGGAGAAAGATTCGCTAATTCCGAATATATATATAACTCAAAATCGCCCAAAATGTCGCTTAAACCAAATAGTCCGTTACCCCTCGATTTATACAATACTAGCTTTTACCCGCGGCTTCGCTTGCGTTACAAAAGTATGAAAAGTAGCCTATGTGACATATACCAATACACACAGCGCCATCTATACTAATACTTTTGTTTTCCATCGGGAATATCAAATTTTTCCGGGATAAAAAGTACCCTATCATTTAATCCGGACTTCTAACTTTACTTCTGCAAAAATTCAAAGCAATCGGTTTAGTAGTTACGGCGTGTAAGCGGAACAAACAAACAAACTCACTTTCCGATTTATAATATTAGTAAGGATTAGCTCTACGCGCGACTTCGTCCGCTTAGAAACAATATCAATAAAACCCAATTATTGAAAGGCTACTTACTCAATTTTAAGTTGTATTTATATATTTACTTTTTTTTCTATTATATTTATTTATTTTATATTTTCAATAGGCTCACCCCCTATTACATGGGACTCATAACATAAACAGTGAAAAGTGGGTGTTACATTGTACAGTGACATTAAGTGCTGTAATGTGCACCTCTGCCTACCCCTTCGGGGACAAAAATAATAATAATAAATAAAATGTTTATTTGGTGTAAAAAGCCAGATTACAAAATAAATCTTAATATCTAAACAAAGTCTAAAAATATGTGAAACCTGAACTAGGTCCAAGCCTGTGTTTCAGGTTAAAAATGTACTGAAGTATTTAAAATACAATAATATTGCTTATAAAACTAAAAATTTTTATGTCTTATGTTAAATTAAGCTAGTCTCTAAGTATAACAGGTGCGCGTGTACAGTTTCATAAACAAACGTAAGCAAAAATAACTAAGTCAACTATAATAAAATTATTTGCTTACTTCAAGTAATTCCTCGGTTTGATCGTATGTTAAGGTGTAAAATGTAATTATGTAAAAAGGCGTGATGTTATCTATATTTATTTGTGAAATAATAAGTACATGGCAAAAACATGAAACGTTGCCCCACACTAGTTTATATTTTCTACGAAGCCGCGGAGAACCTAACGGGTAACCAGGGCTCCGGCTCGAAATGCAGGAGTAGGAACGAGGTGGTTTTTAGTCAGTAAGAGTCTGACACTCCCTCCCGCATCACCCGGGCGGGAGCAGTCATTCGATGATTTTCCTCCCTTAAAAAAAACACTAGTAAGTATTTTCTCCTGTGTCGTGGGTGCGTTTACATACATACAAGTTCACATACCCGGAACAACAATTTGTGGATCACACAAAGAGTTGTTCCGTGCAGAATTCGAACCTGCGACACGTTGCTCAGCAGCCGGTTGCCGAAATACCGACCCAACCGTGCAGTCATTGTGCAGTCAAGATTTGTAAGCCGGGCGCTAGTCGCGCCAACGAAAGTCAAAGTCAAAGTATTTATTTCAATTAAACCATAGTTTGGTACTTTTGATATGTCAACAAATACAAAATAAATAATAGTCTGTCAGTCAGTCCGTCAGTGAAACTATGTGAAGCTTGGTGAAACAAGTGAAACAAGTGAACTAGATAAAGGGTTAGGTACAAAATCAAACTCCAGTTCTGTCCGTGTGAATAATAATAGTAAAAAAATAACAAACAGAGAAAAATGTTTTAAAATAGTTTTAAGTTCGACCTAATAACAACCATGGCACCTTATAATATAGTCATAAATCGTCAAAATATCATCTAATACTTTGTGCATTCGTCACATAAGAGGAGAAAAGCATTTTCTTACTCCTGTCATGTAGAAATTAAAAGACATAAGTTATATAATATCTAGTTTAAATTCAACCTTAAATAGAACAAATAAAGATATTTTTTCCGTAATTGCCTTGCGATCTATATCGTTTTGTTTTGTTTCGTTTTGCTTATTCGAATTTTGAATTTCGCTACAGGAGGTATGTATGGAGTCGCGTCGAACACTAAAATAATTTTATAATATGAAAATTAATATTTCGGGTTCTTAGTATACATCACTTATTTTTATTAGCGATACGTTTTTGTGTATGATATGTTTATTTACTTTATCATTAAAAGTCTAAGTCAAAATCATTTCTTTCAGTTAGACCTGGAAGGCACTTTTGAACGTCAACAATATAAATTTAAAAGCGAAGCTATTTGCTCATTCCAAGGCGTAGATTCCTATGGAGAAGAACGAGCAAGAAACTCCATAGGTTATGTACTCGTTTCCAATCAGGTTACAATTCAATTTTATTTTACAATATAAATCGACTCCATGCATCCACTATTCCGTTTAAACAAATGTTTGTGCGCATCACGGAATATAGAATACAATGGAAGTAGCAAGTAGGCGTGGCACGCGTGCCACAGCTAAGCTGTGTACTGCTTACTCGAGGCAAATTTGAGTTCAGTCTCGTTCGAACATGGCGTCGAGTTGCTAGTCTCGTGTCAAATACATATTTCCTCAACTATGCCGTTTTGTTCCG